CACCAATTCCTTCTTCAGTAGTTCTGCAAGGGTTAATGGAAGTTTGCTTTTTGGTAGTCTCACAGGCTGCACACGAAGGTCTATTTCTAACATCAGCTAGACCCTTAAGTGTCCATCTCCTGGAAAGATGTAATTATTTCTGTGATAAAACTGGACATGGCTCACAGTGACCGTTTTTTCTCCTTTCTCACACTGAGGATAGTCGTTATTGCACTGTGATCAAATCCATAGCTTTCATTGCTCTGAAGACTTGCATGTGAACTACTATCAACCCTAAGGGATAATATCTCTCACACAATACAATCATTCTGAGGTCAGTGGCAAATGCAGACTGTTAATAAGAAACCTGTGATACACCACGAGGACTGGGTCACATTTCTCCAGTCTGGTATTGATGATTATCAGTGTAACTACATTTCAGCTGGCTTCACATTCCAGCTAGAATTGAATTGGTACTGATTTAACAGCAGTTGCAAATCAGCAGTTGAAAGGTCAGCAGCCTTCTGCAGTATATGTTCAATGAGAGTCTTTGGATTGCCTAAAGTCATACTAAAGTAATCTACCTCTTCACTGGAAATCTCTAGGTCCTCAGTTACAGCATGTTCTGCTGTATTTTCCTTCTTAGGATAGCTGTGGCGTTGAGACATATGCTGGTTCTGTTTCTAATGCCTCTTGCACCTTTGCCAAGAGGCTGGGAAATTTTCTTTACACTTTTCATAGAATCACAGAATATTACAACTGGAAGGACCTCAACAGATTATTATCAAGTCCAGTCCTCTGCCCTCACGGCAGAACCATCTAGACCATCCCTGATAGATGTCTATCTAACCTGCTCTTAAATATCTCCAGAGATGGAGATTCCACAACCATCATAACCAATTTATTCCAGCGTTTAACCACCCTCACCATGCTATGCTTACACGTGTACTCACCATGCTATGCTTACACATGCGCGCGCGCATACACACACACACACACACACACTCTCCAATTTTCCCTTAGCCTTCAGCAAGGAGAGGGGGACCATGATGTTAAGTTTTGGTTTTTTAAGCTTCAATATTCTCTTCCACAACCTCCAATCTTCTTTTATGTCTTCTCTAGGGAATGGGCCAGGTGACTTCTAACTCAGGCAGAGAAGTATGTATGATGTTTTCCTCCCTCCTTCCAGATAAGAAGGGTTTAGGAGACTGGCTGGCCAGAATTACAACTGAACTGGTTGGCAAGGCAGTATGGGTATGTCTACACTACCCTCCTAGTTCGAACTAGGAGGGTAATGTAGGCATACCGCACTTGCAAATGAAGCCCAGGATTTGAATTTCCCGGGCTTCATTTGCAAGTGCGGTCTGCCTACATTACCCCGCTAGTTCGAACTAGCGGGGTAATGTAGGCAGACCGCACTTGCAAATGAAGCCCAGGATTTGAATTTCCCGGGCTTCATTTGCAAGTGCGGTCTGCCTACATTACCCCGCTAGTTCGAACTAGCGGGGTAATGTAGGCAGACCGCACTTGCAAATGAAGCCCAGGATTTGAATTTCCCGGGCTTCATTTGCAAGTGCGGTCTGCCTACATTACCCCGCTAGTTCGAACTAGCGGGGTAGTGCAGACATACCCTAATAGAGAAGGAGCTTTAACTGCAGGCAGACAGAAGCTCAGCGGGGGTGCCTACCATACTTGATAAAAAGCTGTGTCTCCTGAGAACCTCAACAATTCCTTAGATTAGCTGGTGTAGACAAGTTCTGACCTAGCCATCTGTTAGTATTATAAAAAAACATGAGAGTAGAACTATCTCATTTTCTCTAGAGATGTAGCAAACCTGTGAAATGACAATATCAGACAAACAAATGAATTACTAATGCCTCTTTAGAAGGAATAAGGTGAACATATGGAAAATCAGGGGTTCTTCCTCCTCTCCAGGTGGTCAAACACTGGCTTCTCACTGTTGGTCTAAATGAAGTACCAAAGGCTTCTCAAACTTTTCCTTTTGGATACTACCATTCCCCCTCCCCTACACTTTATTATTTCCATTAAATGGCCATGATACTGATCTTCTAAGCTCGAGGGCAAAGGGCTTTTGCTAATGCCACAGAATGATCCACCGGAAGACGTCTGTATCTGTAATTAATATATCTGAGAAGAAATGTCCACTCTTTTCACACAAGAATACGATTTTTTTTTGTTCAGAGAGTGAGAGACAAGACACTTCTGAAACTGGACTTGTCCCACTGCATCATAACTTTAGGCCTTATGTCAAATTCGTAAATAACTGTTAAGAACCCACAATAAATACATGTATTACACAACTTCCCTCCTGCAGCAAATAACATAAATAAAAATAGTACATTATTCTTAGTCTTTGTAAAAATGAGAAACTAAAAACAGGATGCACAGAGCAATGAAATAAAAAGAGGATACATTTAACTGTCATCATGCACACACATTTTTTTAAAAAATGGCATAAAAGAATAATAAAGAGGTGTTCCCTGTTTTCCTCAATTTTGTAGATGAAATATTTTAGAATCATAGTAGGTTTAGAGAAATGTTGCTAGGGCTCTGTTCCATATTGAGATTATCTTGTCTGAATTGGTCACAAAATGTTTCTCTTTTCATAGTGGAACAACAAATGGTGGGAAAACAGATTTTCGTCCAAGAAACCGTCATTTCTGTTACATTTCTTATGCTAGAAGATTTTCCCTAAATTAAATTATCCATTGCTTTGTCCTGTTTTCCTTTGGTTGACTCATTATAATAGGGGACACCACAATTTCATATAGCATGCGACATTTTGAAAGTAATAAATGTGCTCTAGAAAGTATTTCCTGATATTCAGCCTAATTTTTTTTGTTTTATTTTTTTCATTTGTTTTGTTTTATTTTGATGGCTCCTACTTATTTCTCTGGTACTATCCTGAAAACTCCCATCCTTCTTTGATATTCATCACTGTTCACTTTCTACTACTTATAGACAGTTGCCCTCTTTTACATCATTGCTTTGCTAAGCTCTTGATAGATGAACAGATGGATAGCATGCATGCCTCTTAAAGCAATGACTTTAGGCAAGTCTTCACTATCATACTAAATCGGTACCACTGCCATTAACACAATTGATTGGGTCTAGTGAAGATGCGCTAAATTGACAAAAGAGCACTCTCCTGTCTAAGTCTTTAATCCACCTCAATAAGAGGCAGAAGCCATGTTGATTGGACATCATCTCCTGCTTACATAGGACACTGTCGAAAAAAATCTGAAATACTAAAATGTGAAAAGTAAAGAATTTAAAGGTTACCATACAGGTATTAAAAACAACTGGTTCTTACTATTGTTTCCTTACAGACTATTATACTCCTCCACCCGCAATAGAACATACACCCAGGCTGGGTCTAGACTGGCCAGTTTTTCCGGAAAATCAGCCACTTTTCCAGAAAAACTTGCCAGCTGTCTACACTGGCTGTTTGAATTTCCGCAAAAGCACTGACGTTCTCATGTAAGATTGTCAGTGTTCTTGTGGAAATACAATGCTGCTTCTGTTCGGGCAAAAGTCCTTTTGCGCAAAACTTTTGCACAAAAGGGCCAGTGTAGACACCTCAGATTTGTTTTCCGCAAAAAAGCCCCGATCGTGAAAATGGCTATCGGGGATTTTTTGCGCAAAAGTGCGTCTAGATTGGCACGGATGCTTTTCTGCAAAAAGTGCTTTTGTGGAAAAGCGTCCGTGCCAATCTAGACGCTCTTTTCCGCAAATGCTTTTAACGGAAAACTTTTCCGTTAAAAGCATTTGCAGAAAATCATGCCAGTCTAGACGTAGCCCCACAGGTTTATTAGGGTTACTAATGAATATGGAGCTGCTAGAAGCCATTTTTAAATAGACAAAAGATATGGATGTTTTTAATTTTGGGGCAAAAATGAACAATCTTTGTACATCAGTTAAAAAAAAATTAGGTCAAATGACCTAGTAAATTTGACAGTGTACCTTTCAGTTTTGATAAATTCACCTTTGTTCTGATTTTGATCTCCTTGATTTAACTATCATTTCAGGATTATATTTAAACCTTGCAGTGCCATGAGTTGGTTTACTTCAGGTATGTCTATACTGTAACAGAACATGTCAGCTGACTTGGGTTTGTGGCACTGGGTCTACATCTAGACTGAAAACTTTTTTCGGAAGAAGTTTTCTGGAAAAGATCGTTCACACAGCAAAAGCTCAACAAAAAAGCGATGTACTTTTTCAAAAGATAGAGTCCACATTGATTGGACACTATCTCGCATTTAAGTTGGCATTAGCATGGACAGAATGGCCACCAGGGCGCCTGTGTTATTTCCTGGAGGCCTTTTCTTTCAAAAGAACTCCCTCTTTTGTGTCCACACGCGCCTTTTCTGTAAAAGCTTTTTCGGAAAAAGGCTTCTTTCTCATAGAAAGAGGTTTACCGCTGTAGGAAAACCCCCTCCATTCTTTCGACTTTCTGTTGAAAGAACACAACAGCAGTGTGGATAGTAAGTATAGTTCTTCCAGAAAAATGGCCGTTTTTCCGGAAAAATGCTGCAATGTAGACATACCCTGTGTTTTGGAACTATAAAATTGCAGTGTAGACATTCCAGCCTGAGCTATGCTGAAATTTTATAACCCTGCAGACTGGGCCCCATGATCCCAAGTCAGCTGATGTGGTCCAGTTTTGGATGCCTTATTGCATTATAGACATACCCTAAAAACTTGCATCATGCAAAACTACTAAATGCTACTAAATGCATGCCTGGAATTGCCTTGCAGAGTGTTTTTTACAGTTATACAAAAAGGGAGATTTTGATGTATGCTTAGAGTCTCAAAACACAAAGATCTACAAAAAAATATTACATTTTCCCACAGTACTTGTATGTATACACATTTTTTTCAGAATAAATATTTCCTCGCAGAACAAACCATTTCCAATCCAATACATAAAGATAAGTAGTTCCCATCATTTAGAATTGTTCACATACATTTTTGTAATTGTACAGACTTTCTAGACTTACCTCCTCTATGGATAATCAAAGAAGTTTCACTTCCAACAGGACATTCTTTAAGTATATCCACTACTTCTGCATGGCTCAGGTTCTGTACATTCTGCTGGTTGATCTCAACAATGAGGTCACCTTCACACAAACCAGGACATCCCTGAATGTCTAGAATTTGCTTCACTCTCTGTCCTGTAGGACTGTCTGCTATAGTGAAGCCAAAGCCCTGGGTCCCTTTCACAATGGTTAAGGTCATGAGTTCAGCTTGGGTGGCCCCAGAGGAAGCCATTGATACATTATCATCATGAACAGGTGGAGGGAATGTGCTATCAAGCTGACTATCTGCTGGAATGGAGTGCAAGGGATGTGGCGGTCGATCTGTTATGTCTGGAACAGATTGAGAGGTCCTAGAAATGTATTCCAAATAAGTTTCATAGTTATGTCTTCCATTTACTACTACCGGAGGCCTCTCCATTACTGCAAGTGGTGGCACCATGCTGTTGGCAGGATCTTCAGGATCAAAGGGCAAAGGGTATCCACGACATAGCACCAGGTTGACACTCTGACCAATAGGAACTGACTGGAAGAGTTTGACTACATCTGCGTGAGTATGCCCAAGGACACAAACTTCATTAATATAGACAATGACATCACCTGGAAAGAGACAAAAATAGTGATGACATAAGAAAACTTCAATTACTATTGGTACAAAAAGAATGGATTTTTTTTATCAAATCAGGCATAGGAAATCACCATTTTACTAAAAATTAAAAGCAATGATAGCAATATTCAGATCAATCAAAGGTGACACTTGGCTGAAATTTGTCTGCCACTATAAATAAGATTCAGATAAAAGTTTTTGTCTGAAGCTCAGCTCTCCTGAGTGCTCTGAAACCTACATATTTACTCGGATTATCTTTATATATTTTTGGGGGGTGCAGGGTCCTATGACTGATCGAAACCTGCGAGCATTTGAACAAAGGCCTTATGAGATAGATACAGACCCAAACCCCTTTCTCAAAGTTGACTGATTCTGGCAACCTATTTTTTTTGCTCTCTGATGGAAATCAAACCAGAACTCTGATCACTGCACCAAAGACCCAGCAGTTAACAGTTATCCCAATAGAGCTCATGGCATCCACCAACCCTTCGAAGGAAAATCATGTCGTTATTTCAAAAAGATTCTGCTTCTCTGGTTAGGCTTTTCATAAGTCTCACATTCTTAATATCAGACCTAATGGATTATACTGAGCATGTGCAGTGAGACAAGACAGCTATCTTGAAAACTATGTTTTCAGCCTAGAACCAGAGTCACTCTGAGGGTCTGGTATAGTCATTGAATGTGAGGTATTGTAAGTTCAAATCCTACCTAGAGCAGAAATATGAAGTTAAAAAATAGGGAGGGCTATTACTTCAATCTGGTTCTGCCAATTGGAGTAAGCTGAATATTGAGAAGGTGCTGAAACTATTTTTAAAAAATTATACAAGCAAACACTTGCTGGGAGGGGAAGGTGATTAGAGGAGGAAAAATAGGTGGAAATAGGAGAAGAGGGGTTGAGGGATTAGGGATGAGGCCTAGCAGGTGTGGTGGAACCCTGGAAAGGCAACAAGGGGGTAAGTAAGGGTACATCTAGACTACATGCCTCTGGTGACAGAGGCATGTAGATTAGGCTACCCAGCATAGGAAAATAAAGCAGTGATTTAAATAATCGCAGCTTTATTTAAATTTAAATGGCTGCCGTGCTGAGCTGATCAGCTGTTTGTCGGCTCAGCACGGTAGTCTGGACACTCCGCGGTCGACATCAAAGGCATTTGTCAACCTCTGAGGTATGCCTCCTGGGATACGGTTTACCTGGGAGGTCGACAAATACCTCTGATGTCGACCACGGAGCGTCCAGACTACCACACTGAGCCGACAAAGAGCTGATCGGCTTAGCGTGGCAGCCATTTAAATTTAAATGAAGCAGCCATTATTTAAATCGCCACTTCATTTTCTTATGCCGGGTAGCCTAATCTACATGCCTCTGTCAGCAGAGGCATGTAGTCTAGATGTACCTAATGATTGGGGGCACTTGTCAGCTTCATATTTCCTTCTCGGGTGTCCCGCATGGCAGTTCACACATCACATAGCTATTGCTGCAGGCAGTATTCATCTCCATCAGGTGCTCTTTTTCATAGATTAATATTATTGAGGTGAATAGGCCACCTAACGTCTCTCAAAGTCTGCAACTTTGACGTGTGAACCCACTCTGGGAAGAAATCTGAAAATGAACTGTAACCATTCAGGAAAAATCTGCCTCTGTCAAGGTTTTTATCATGGCAAAATGCAATCTGAGTACAGCAGGTGCTTCAGAAGGCCCTGAAACTATTTTTGGAACAAAAATAAATTATGAATGTGAATGATCACTGACAGAGGGGATAACTAGGATGCAAGAGTAGGTGAATAACAGAGGAAGAAGGATTTGGTTCTGCCATGAGGGAAGATACTATGGAAAGGAAGATAAGTGGTAATGAATAGTAGGGAAGGGAAGAGGGGCTGAGTAGCTTAAATAAAAGGGGGCATGATGGGGGGGGGTCTGCCCCTCAATGCTCCTTTAATGATAAGACCCAGCCCTGGGCTGAGAGCAAAGGCCACAGCTGAGGCAGATACTATCAATGAGGTCCCAGCTGGGGGCTGTATAAATAAGGGCTCCTGGAGGGAGGCAAACAGATTTGCCCTAGCTGGGGAAGCAGGAAGGACCTGGCTGCTAAGGAAGCTTGGTGGTTTCCCAAGACAGAGCAGCGCTGAGGAAAGGCAGGCAGGGCTAGGGAGCCTTACCTCACTCCCAAGTTGCATGGCCTGAAGCAAGGCTACAGAGTGGCAGCAAGGATAGGAAAGGGACAGCAGGTCCACACCCCCTTGCCAATGATGAGTGGCCATTTCAGACAAAGGTTTGCCCCTGTGGCAGGGCTAGATGAAGACTGGCAGTGGGTCGCTGAGGCAAGGAGGGTATAGAGGGGTTTCCTGGGAGGGAAGGAATGCAGAGTTCAGAGACTGCTAAACACCCCTCCCAGACGCCGCTTCATTTAAATTAAAATGGCATTTGTCAATCTCCCCGGTAAACCTCATCCCAGGAGGCATACCAGGGAGGTCGACAAATGCCTTTGATGTCGACTGCAGAGCGTCCAGACTACAGCGCTGAGCCGACAAACAGCTGATCAGCACAGCGCGGCAGCCATTTTAATTTAAATGAAGCAGCAATTATTTAAATCGCGGCTTCATTTGGGTATGTCTTGTAAACTAATCTACATGGATCTGACAACAGAGCCATGCAGTCTAGACATATCCTTTCTCTCAGTAGGTGTGTGAATCCTCCTTCCTGCCCACTGTGTGGTCTGAGGAACTATGCTCCTCATGCAGGCTGTGTCTACATTGGCATCCTTTTCCGGAAAAGGGATGCTAATGAGACACTTCGGAATTGCAAATCCACGAGGGATTTAAATATCCCAGTGGCATTTGTATTTACATGGCTGCTGCTTTTTTCCGGCTCGGGGTTTTTGCCGGAGAAAAGTGCCAGTGTAGACGCGATTCTCCGGAAAATAAGCCCTTTTCCGGAGGATCCCTTATTCCTACTTGAAAGTAGGAATAAGCCTTTTCCACTCTGCCTTTTCACTAGAATGGTCATGTGCCACCAGGGCCATCCTTAGGATTTCTGATGCTCTACGCAGACTGAGCAACTGCACCCTCCATCTCCTGTGGGAATTGGGAGGGGGGAGAGGCTGCTCAGTGTAGGTGGGAGCTGTGATCAGGTCTGTGGGGGCAGGAGCAGGGAAGGCAGGCTGTTGGGGGAGTAGGCAGACTGAGCAGATCAGCTGGTTGGACCTGCAGGCTGAGTGGCAGAGCAAGTGGAAGAGGGGAGCAGCACAGCTGGTCAAAGCTGTGGACTGGGAGGCAGAGCTGGGGCTAGGGTACTGGGACGTAGAGCAGAGGGTGAGGGCCTGGGAGATTAGGGCTGCCAAAGCTGAAACTACCCACAGCTGGGTAGGCCTATCCAGCATACGGTACTACTAAATTTGGGGCACCATTTAGTGGTGTCCTACGCAGCTGCATATGCCTAAGGATGGCCTGATGTACCACCTACACTTCCCATATGCTCTAACACTGAGCCCCAACAGAATAACACACTTGGAAAATTTAATAACCACTTTAGACCCATTTATAAGTCCTTCACACAGGATATCGCCAAACCTATGCTTTCCTCTAGCCATTGTTAAATCCACAGAATGCATTCATATCCAGGGGTGCTGGGACACATTTTATAGAGGGGCACTGAGAACATTCAACCAAACTGTAAACCGTATATGATGGAAACCACTTCATGCCATGGAGTGTGACAACATGCCCAGCACCTCTGCTTATATCCCTCCTCACTACTTAGAGTCTGCCTGGCAATAAAACCCCAACACACTACTACGTGTGCATCCTACACAATTCGGTAGTAAAATTATGCACACTGGAAATACAAAGTACATACACCCCTCTTTGCTTTGATCAAAGACATGGCAGGGAGAGGTGGGGTGGGATGGGTTGGGAATCAGCTCCAGATATCTTCTTAGTACAATCGCAACTCTTCCAAACCTGCCCTCGCTCCATCCCTTCCCTAAAGGCCCAACTCCATCCTCAGGCCTGCTGATGGAGGGAATGGGGAAGAAGGCAACTGCCCAGGGGCCTGATGATTCAAAAGGGCCCAGGACTTCTGGCTGCTAATTTAAGTTGCCACTGGAGGCCCAGGCAGCACTGAGGGATACCTGGGGGAGGCAAGCCCCCGCCCAGACCCATACACTCAAGGTTCCGCCCCTTTCAGGGACACAGAGCCAGCCCCTCTGCCTTGCTCAGTGACATGGCGAGTCTGTCACCCTACTGCTCAATTCACTTCTTCTTGCTGAGTTCTGTCCCCTCCCCCAAACATGTCCCAATCCCACTCCTCTCTTTCCCCTCAGTGCCTCCTGCACACTGCAGAACCGCTGATCACTGGAGGGTAGGAAGCACTGGGAGGGAGGGAAAGCAGTTGACTGGCAGGGCTGCAGGTCGAGGGGAAGCACTGCGGTGGGAGGAGTTGTCAGTGAGTGCTAAGCACCCACTAATTTGTTTCCATGGATGCTGTACGTCAACACTGGGTTCGTGGGTTTATACTCTGCTCATGTAGCAGCCTTCTTTTACAGAAGAAAAATAATTAAAAAATAAGTTTCAGTTGATTCGTGTCTTCTGATAATCAGGATTAGACTGTGTATTGATGATTATCAATAAACATTCATAAATAGATATGCATCTGTTCACACAATAGCCAAATTACTTACTAGCCTATTTTTGTTTCCACTTTCATTAAATCCAAAATAGTACGTATCTTTTATAACAAAGAAAAAAGCTGTGTGGTCAGAATAATCAAGATACAGTAATGTAAGTGACAATTTTTTTGTTCTTCTGCAATTAAGTTATGTACCAATAAACTATGATAGCTCTAGGTTCCCCGCCAGATACATAGCTTAATTATTTGAGCTAAAATAATATGCATTATCAATTTTATATTTTAATGGTATCTCAAGATTCAATAATGAAATGAGAAATGTTTTTGCTACTGGAATTGCATCCAAAGAGTTTATGAAATCATTTCCTG